TGACAAAAATGTAGTTCTTGTGAATGAAACAGCCTGTATATTCGTGTTCTTTATATTTATTATCACTACATTGTTGCTTGCCAAATTAGGTAGCTCTTCGGTACATTTGTACATTTGTAATATAGTTTTATTCCGTGTGTAATGTCAAATTTCAACAAGTGACACTTAAATGTATATACTACAATTTCTCCATAGACCGGGCATAGTATTTTTCATCTGTAGTTTTGGTAATTGTTACTCGCTCTTAATTATACTTACTTGTTGTTCTTTTTTTTTTGCTTGAAACAAACAAATTATTCAAAATGCGTTGGATGTTCCGAATGTTAGCTAAACAAAAGTGTACCTGAATTATTCAACATTTATCTAAAACAAAATTTACAATACACATGTATGTCCATTTTAATTCATATGAATACAGTTGACATAATTTACAAAGTACTTCTTCATGCATAAATATGTTATTATGTATTGTTTTTACTGTAAATATACATGGAATGGATGATTTGCTGCTTATATATCGGAATTTGACTGGTTAAAAATTTTAACATAAAGTGGGTGGGGTAATTTGACACCAGTTTGTCATAGAATTGCCGACCAATTTTTTTTTTAATTTTAAATGCATAAATTTTTGTATCAACATGGACAAAAATTTGTTTGTATGAAGTTTGCATGTAATAAATATGTTTAACTTATATATAGAAGTGGTTTTTTTAGTATCATCGGAAATTAACAAATTACGCCGATTTTATAACTGAAATTTAAGGGTGTCAACTTGAAAGCTGGAATTATCACATTTCCCCTTCAGCAAAAGAGTGCAACTTTTTTCCTAATATCAAGCAGATATGGTACCATCATAAAATACCAAAACAAAAACTTTTGCAATTAGTTCTAGGTTAGCTTGATTTTCGGGCTAATTTGACTAGACTAATACCACTCATTCAAATATAAATCAGACAATTTCTGTTTAACACAAGCAACTAACCATTTATGATTTGGAAATTCATGGGTATCCCATATGTTTAATAAACCACAGTTTATACATATTAGTCGTATATGTAAGATCCATTTAAATGATTGTCTGTTGACATTGACACTGTTGCTAAAATTGTAAAGCATTACATTATACAAAGAACATGTCAGTTAAAATATATTGGTACAACAAGTTTTGACCAAAAGCTTATCATTCTTGTATTAATCTCAATGTGTAATGGCTTGACACCTGTTTCACCATATACAATACAGTTGGGTGTGCTTGATTTAAGACCCAATATATGTTTTAGATATTTCAGTTGAACTTTTTCTAGTATGGAATTGTTACCAAAACCCCAGCACTCACACCCATATAATAAGATTGGCTTTACTAATTTATCGAATAAATCAATTTGCATATCTATTGGTAACTGCAGATATTTCGACTTCTTAATTAGACAGTACATCGCTTTAGTAGCCTGATTAGCTATTTCAGATTTTGCTTTAACAAAACAACCACTTCTGCTAAAATGTTACGCCTAAATATTTAAATTCATCAAACTATTTCTAAATTCTCATTCTTATAAGTAAAAATATATTGTACAGGTCTTCCTTTCGAAAATACAATGACTTTAGTTTTTGATGTGTTAACTGTTAATTTCCAACTATCACAATACGTTTGATATAAATTTATGGCATTTTGTAAATTAACAGTAGTAAAAAGAATGATTATGCTCCTACTTGTTTTTCCAGTACTTTTGAAGAGAACCACTTGACAATCAATTCCTGTACAGTTTGGTCAAAATCTACCTAGTAGTGTTAATGGACATAATAATTGAGGCAATTGAAAAACTTGTGGATAATAAATGAACAACTCATGGATAACAACATAATTATGAGCAACTAATAGATAACAACTTATGAACAACTAATAGATAACAACTTATGAACAACTCATGGATAACAACCTAACTATGAACAACAAACATGGAAAACAACATATGAACAACTCATGGATAACAACATATGAACAAAAGACATGGATAACAACATATGAACAAAAGACATGGATAACAACATAGGAAAAACGCATGCATAACAACATTTGAACAACTCATGGATAACAACATTATTATGAACAACTCATGGATAACAACATAATTGTGAACAACTCATGGAAAACAACATATGAACAACTCATGCATAACAAAATAATTATGAACAATTCATGGATAACAAAATAATTATGAACAACTCATGGCTAACAACATAATTGTGAACAACTGATGGAAAACAATAAATGAAAAACAAACATGGATAACAACATAATTATGAACAACTAACAAAAATATCAAGATTTAAACAACTCATGCATAACAACATATGAACATTTCATGGATAACAACATATGAACAACTCATGCATAACAACATAATTATTAACAACAAACATGGATAACGAGATGTAAACAACTCATGTATAACAATATACGAACATCTCATGGATCACAACATATAAACAACTCATGGATAACAAAATAATTATGAACAACACACATGGAAAACAACATATGAATAACTCATGGATAATGACATAATTATGAACAACCCATGGATAACAACATATATACAACTCATGGATAACAACATATAACAACTCTAGGATAACAACATATGAACAACTAATGGACAACAACATATGAACAACTCATGGATAACAATATATGAACAACTCATGGATAACAATATACATGTATGATCAACTCATGAATAACAACATATGAACAACAAACATCATCAACTGCTAAAAGGGGCGTGTGGCTGAGTGGTTAGGGTCTTGACTTCAAACCACTTACCTCTCACCGCTGTGGTTTCAAATCCCGACAGGGACTTTGGATTCTTTCATGTGAGGTAACTATCCAGCTAGCTTACGGAACATCGGTGGTTCTACTCAGGTGCCTGTTAGTGTCTGAAATATTGCACGGAAGGGCACCTGAGGTCTTCCTCCACCAGAAAAGCTGACACGTCGCTATGTGACCAGTATACTGTGTCAGTGCTACATAAAACCCAATCAAACAAACAAACAAATCAACTGCTTAAAAGTACATATAATTATATAAAAGTCTAATATTTAATACTACTAATTGCGTAATGCCATGGATTACATTGATTCACCTGCACTAAGATCAATTAACATTAGAGTAGAATAGTACAAGGTACACATGATTGAGAGAAGAGCATGTCTAACAAGTACACATCTATTGGCAGTCAATATTTATCTTGCTTGCCAAGCAATATATCTTACATGTGATCTACTAGATTTCTGTATCATGTTTTAGTTCCAAAAAAAGTCCGTTAATTATTATAATGTTAATAAATAAGTGTCTATAAAGATCATTATGGCCTTGTTATTGATATTAATAAAATCTTTTCCTATCAGGCAAAAAAAGTTAATCCTATCAATAAAATACAAGGTAAATCTTAATTAGCCCTTAATAAAGACCACTTAACTCAGTCTATAAAGATGAGTTAACCCTGTCTATAAAGATCAGTTAACCTTGTTTATAAAAATCAGTTAACTCTGTCTATAAAGATCTGTTAATCCTGTCTAAAAAGATCAGTTAAGCGTCTATATGATCAGCTAATCCTGTCTATAAAGATCAGTTAATCCTTCTATAAAGATCAGTTTACCATGTCTAAAACGATCAGTTTACCCTGTCTATAAAGATCAGTTAATCCTGTCTATAAAGATCAGTTAATCCAGTCTATAAAGATCAGTTAATCCTGTCTAAAAAGTAACAAAGGGCAATAACTCTGTAATTAGTGAAGATGGAGTTATGGTTCTTGTGCACTGCACTCCCTCTCAATGTGCTAGACCATTGTATGAAGTTGTATTGAATTCCAACCATAAGTCTTCAAGTTATGCTCCGGACAAAGAAAATGCAACGGACGGCTGGACCAACCGACTAACCACCGAGTGACTCCTATATACCCCCCAAATTTCGTTTCGGGGGTATAAAGATCAGTTGTATCATAGTTTGGGGACCTTTCTGTTGAAATAGTGTCAGAGTTAAATCGTATACATTTACATCCACAGTGCTGTACCTGGAGTGCAGGTATCAGTTACCCATCTCCAGATAATGCCTGTTGATTGGCTCATTTTTGCTGGGGTTTACTTATTGTGACGGCAGAGAAAGGGAAAGCAGCAGAAATATCATATTCAAATGTTCGTTCAGTGGTTACTTTTTTCTAGCGTTTCATATTCTGGCTTCAGGGAATGTGTTGTTACGTTTGACTATGATACAAAAGAGAAAGAACACCAAAATACTCGGTAATCTGATTTATACTCCTCGTACAAATCAGATAGCCTGTGTTTCGGTGTTCTTTCTATTACTAAACCAGGTCTATAAAGATGAGTTAACAATGTCTATAAAGATCAGTTAACCCTGTCTATAAAGATCAGTTAACCATGTCTACAAAGATCTGTAAAGATTGTTAATCATGTCTATGAAAATACAATTTAACCCAGAATGATAACCCTCCCCAAAAGCATATTAACCAGCCTCTCTTGAAAGCCCACCCTTTTTCTCAAGATCCCATAACCTTGTCTACAATTGTCTCCAGATTTTTCAAATTACTAGTACTAGGATTTACAATATCATATGGATGAAAGCTGAAGAAAGTGTGGCACTTACTTTAACAATCATAAAAGGCTTTTAAAGGTATATAGGGTACTAGCTAGCGGAAAAATCAAAACAATGTTATGTAAAACATACATAAATCATGTGCAAATAACATATAGGAAAATATATAACTTCTGATTATTGTGTGAAAAATCTGACAACTTTGAAAATTCAAAATTTACCCAATGAAGCATTTTAAATTTGATCACATAATGAAACACTTATTGTAATCAGCTTTGATAAATATTACATAAGCCAGGTCCATAGACTCAGATATTCACCTAAACATAAAATTATAATACAATATATTGATACACCTATTTAAGGAAAGGGGTGTAACTGTGTAAAATCCAACTCAGACAGTGTGGGTTTGAGCAACAATGTTGACCATTTATCCTCGTTACACCAGTAATATGTCCTGGGAGCAGAATTGAAATTGATATACTAAAAGATAATAGAACTTATTTCATTATGCAAATTTTACTACACATGGTTGTACTAGTAGCTTGCTGCCAATTTTCCAGATTTTAGTGTAATATACAGAATTATTTTACTTTCATTGTGCACAATCAAAGCTGAGTATAAGGTTATAGACACACTCTAAATTCTGTTCATGGAGCCAACAAGTACAAACATGTCACACTAGTAAATAGTCAGACTAGTAAATAATCTAACTAAGAATCAGTAGCTTAAGAGTTCAAACACCATCATGGGCAAGCCATTGTCTCCATTAGCATGTACAGTGTTATACTAAAGAAGACAACGGCTTAACCCTAATATCATGTTTGAACCCATGCAGCTGGCAATTATGTTGCCACATTGTTCATTGCCACAGGTCCAATTGTTAATAATTCTCCAGGTTCAAAGTCCATTCTTAAGGATTTTTATTTTATGACTTGTGGTAACAGAAGAGAACATGTAATGTCAGGCTTCAAAATCAATCTTTCACAATCACTTTCAATTTTGCAATTCCAATAGTTTTTCTTTTAAAGCAGCATTCCTTCAGATTCCTGAAAATTTTGAAAATATATTCAAAAGTAAAATATTGTGAATTGAACAAAGAAATTAATTTACACATTGCAAACAGCACTTACAAACCACATAATTTACCAAAAAGAGGTCAAAATTAATAAAAATAGCCCTTACTGAATATAAGTCGCATAATATATTGATAAATGCATCACATTACATCTAAATTATTACTTGAATATTGAATCTTTTTACTTTTCTTAAAATCTTATTAGTACATTTTTCTCTAGTTTTATTTTCTTGAAATTTTTTGGCTCATTTGGAGGCATGTAGCTTTAAAGTATTTATCAATTAACTTGAAGAATACAATGTACATGAGAGAAATGCAAAAAGTTCCATGGTATCATTCTTATATCTAAAACTAACAACAATTTTTTTTAGCAAACAGAATAAAAATGTTCCACAGATTTGTTACTGAAAATTTCTAATATGTGTACTGTGTTTTTGTCTCCAGTTAATTTGGAATTTTTTTTGTAAATTTTATACTGTAGTCACCAAGGCTTGTTATGTAACAGGGCAGGGCTGGAAATTCATACTAACAAGTCGCCATCCCGCAAAAAATCTTACTTTTAAATCTTTTGCAACCAATACAGTTATGGGAACTTAAGTAAATATTTTCTGACTATGCAGTTTGCGATCAATAACACATGCATTATCATAGCTTATATCAAATAAACAATGTTGTTAAAGTAACTGCCGACCGTTTAATTGCCGGTACTTGGCTCCTGAAGATGGTTATCCTTCGAAATAAATCCTTTTTTTATAAGTGGGCATACTTAAATTACTTCAAGTTTACTTTATCAATGAATAATAGTGTCTACATTGAAAAGGCTGTAATTTCATTTCACTAAAAAAACAAAAAAAAAAAAAACGATCTAATTCTATTATTCTTCTGATTCGATTTGAAGGATATTAGTTCCACATGAAAAAAAAAGGTATGTTAAAATTATATCATTTTGTAAGTTGTTTAAATCTGAAATTCACAGCTGAGCAGTATTAAGTATTTAAAATAAATAAAACAAATTGGATTATACAAGCCTTATTGTTTAATGAAAAATATTTTATTAATAGCCATGATGATTTTTATTTTCTAAATATAATCATAACTGCAAAAAAAACCACTTGTTTTACTTATTATTAAGTTCTTAGATAATATATATAAAATTAATTTAATTGTAAAAATACCTTCAAATGAAATAAGAACTACATCATAATATTATTTATATTTTATAAAAACTGTATGTTTAAATACTGACTTTTCTCACAATAATATGATTTTTTCATATATAATAATAAAAAAAAATATTTTCAATAATGGATGCATGCACTGAAAAATATGTTATTTATAGGTTGCATTCTTTCTTAATTAACTTTATGCCGGCTGCAGTTTCTACCAACGCAATCAGTGCAGACCAACATCAGCTGGCACATCCAGGTCGTCTGATCATGGTCTGCACTGTTTGCCTTTCAGTCAGTAAATATTGTAAGTTGGACATATTTATTTAAACAGGACTCTAGAAATTGAAGTTTTTTGACATGCAGGGACTAGAAATCATTTTTGGCAACTTGTGTACATGATTTGATGTAGGTCTGGACAAAATAACTTGTATGCAAAATTTCAAATCATCATTCACTCCTTTTTCCTAGAACAATTTTATGTTTTAAGCTTTTTGACTTCATGGGGATCCTTCAAGATATTTAGCATGATACATATCATGCATGCATAATATGTCATTTTAATTTCTTAATAGTGCTTCTGAAAAATGAAAAATCAGTAAAAAGCCAGAAAACAGTTTACATTAAAGGCAGTAAGTCATTTGTGATATACATTAAAGGAACTCCACTGAGGTTCAAAAGTCTAAAAACCATAAAATTTTAGTTTCCTATATATACCGTATATATTGAAAATCGTACTTTAAAGCAATTCCAAGACAGATTCGAGTGAAGTTTTTCAATTTTGGGTCATTTTACAAGACATGAACAACTATTCAGATCAAGTGAATGATCTAAAATTTGCATACAAATAATTGGTCCAGACCTTCATAAAATGAAATATTAATTTCGAAAAATTATTTCCAGTACTGTCATGTCAAACAAGAGCTGTCAGTAGGACAGCACGCTCGACTATTCTAAGTGCTTGATAGTATGACCCTCCAATTATGACCCTAAGTGCATGTGTAAAGTTTCAAGTAAATATCTTTGAAGACCTTTAACCTTTAACCAAAATTTCTAAGTTTCAAAGGGGCAAATAATTCTGCAAATATTGCAGGCAGAGTTATGCAATTTTGCAAACTGATGTACATTGTTACTATAAAAAAGTATTTTAAATTTCAATTGAATATCTCAAGCAATAATTGAGATATTTGACTTTACAAAAAAACTTTAACCAAAATTTCTAAGTTCCAAAGGGGCATAATTCTGTCAATATTGTAGGCAGAGTTATCCAACTTGTCAATCTGATGTACCTTGTTACTATAAATAAGTATTGTAAGTTTCAATTGAATATCTCAAGCAATAATTGAGATATTTGACTTTACAAAAAACTTTAACCAAAAGTTCTAAGTTAAAAAGGGGCATAATTCTGTCAATATTGTAGGCAGAGTTATCCCACTTGTCAATCTGATGTACCTTGTTACTATAAATAAGTATTGTAAGTTTCAATTGAATATCTCAAGTAATAATTGAGATATTTGACTTTACAAAAAACTTTAACCAACGCAGACGCTGACGCGAACGCCGGGGCGACTACAATAGCTCTCATATTCTTCGAATAGTCGAGCTAAAAATCTCAGTGGAGTCCCTTTAAAGCTTAATAGATCTCTGTACAAAGGCAATAGAAAAAAAATCCAGTAAAAATTCAGAAAACAGTTTACATTCTAGGGAATAACCTATTTGTGATTTACATTAAATCTATAGTTTAATTAATGTAGCAAAAACATAAATTCTTCACAGAATTTTATTTAAATATTGTAACATTATGAAAATTACAGAAACATTCGCAGTACATGTATTATTTCACAGCATCTGCCATAATTATGTGTTGCAAATAAACACCTGTTTTTTCACAATCTGTTATATATAAGTACTGCAGTTGCAGGCGTAATATTAAAAACACTAACAGTATTGAACTTGATCAAGTGGTAACAACTTGAGTGGTCCTTAAAATGCCATATGGCATGTCAGCATGTTTACACATTTGCAAAAAGGGGTTAACAGTTTATATAATTTAGCAATACAAATGATGATAAATTTTGTTTGAAAGAAAAATTACAGAACATAAATTTTAATCAAAATATGTAAGGGATATTATTTACCCTTGGATCATGTATGGTAATACATGGCAAAGGTAGACTACTGGAGATGAACTTTAAAATTTGGGGTAAGGGGGCCGATGGCTTTTATGTTTGCTCTCGCTATGCATGCTGCAATCTTTTAAGGCCCATTAGACTTCAAGAATGCTTTTTTATTTCTCCAAGGCTTTTAAATTTGGGTGTACTTTTCTTGTTTTCAAAAATGTAATTCATTAATGGCCAAACACCTGAGCATTTTTTTTTTCTTCATTTGCTTTATAACAATCAGTACTGATACAGTGATTCAGTATTTTGTATGAAAGTCAAAATACTACTTTGTTTACATTTTGCTACTTTCATGACAAATAATTTCACATTTAGCGCTACTATCTTCAGGTAATAAGCATCTAACATGCTTTAACACCATTATTTAAACGCTATAAAGTCTATGTTTGCCCTTTTATAAGATGTCAAAATTTATTCATTTCTGAGGCATCATGTGCCTTTAAACAACCTCCAAGATAATTCAGCCATGTTGTCAGAACAGGGTCTCTGTTCTCTTTACTAATCTGCTGGTTATCAAATCAAAATTAAGAGCATGGCATATCATCAGTGCAGACCAAGATCAGCAGGCATATTCATGCTATCTGATCATGGTCTGCACTGATTGCTTTTCAGGCACTACTTATTTTGAAATTTTCTGTAACATGTAACATATTAAAATTTTACTTGGCTCCTGGGTCATAATGAAACCCCTGTTCCTTATTTGAAGAAGACACTGTTTCTATACAATATTGAAGTATTTGAAACTACAAACAGAAGCAGAGCAACTCCATGACAGGAAATGAACTATTGATAAGTGTTAGGGGGGTTTTGCCCCCCTGATTAAATAAAACAAATATATATATGACATCTTCCCACTTGAGGAGGAGGGCATAAATATAAATTGGGTCTTGATATGCTGACCTTTTTCCCACCAACTCCTGTAACAATAATCCCCTAAGTTTTAACAGTCAATATATCATGTCAGTAGATTTAATGCAAGTTTAGTTTAAACAAAATAAATGTTCAATTTTTTTTCTAAATGTGGTGTGCCATAAAGCGTTTGATGACATAATCCTTCAATGCAGATTGAAATTTGATTAAAGATTTCCTCTCACCTGCAAAATATTTCATTTAAGAAAACTATTTCCTCTCATTTTAATTCATTTTTGACAACATCAGTACATGGTCTATAAAATTTGACAGAACAAGACAGGAAAATGGCCCCCTCTACAAATTTCATAACATGAATGATTAAATAACTCACATAGCTAAGTAATCAGGGAAAAAATGACAGTTTCATTCAATACTTCCTACTAAAGTGACATCATTAAATCTTTATTTAGTCAAATTAAATCCCCTCAACACCGATGCCAGACCTCACACATAACAAGGGACAGTACTCCATGTCTAACTGATGGAGTGTAAACATAGTAAGAGTTTTTTCCCTTTGCCCTAATGTTATCTATACTCCATACATTTATTATAAGTCATCCCTGGTACTACTTGTAAGCCCTCCTAGGTATCTTTTAGTACTTGACTAGTTAGTACCCACCCATGTGAAAGTACTCATTGGTACTTAAAAATACTGAACAGCCTCCTTAATTAAATGGCGAAAAAAAACTGATGTCTTAAAAACATTTTCGTAA